ATCGAAGGCATTTTCAACATCTATTGAGATAGTCATGTGGTTTTTGTCATTGGTTCTGTTTATGTGATGGATTACATTTATTGATTTGCATATGTTTAACCAGCCTTGCATTCAAGGGATGAAGCTGATTTGATAGTGGTGGATAAGCTGTTTGATGTGCTGCTGGATTTGGTTTGCCAGTATTTTATTGAGGATTTTTGCATTGACGTTCGTCAGAGACATTGGCCTGAAATTTTCTTTCTTTGTTGTGTCTCTGTCAGGTTTTGTTATCAGGAAGATGCTGGCCTCATAAAATGAGTTAGGGACAAGTACCTATTTTTCTATTGTTTGGAATACTTTCAGAAGGAATGGTACCAGCTCCAATTTGTACCTCTGGTAAAATTTGGTTGTGAATCTGTCTGGTCCTGGGCTTTTTTTGGTTGCTAGGCTATTAATTACTGCCTCAATTTCAGAATTAGCTAAAAACTCTCAATGAACTAGGTATTGATGGAAAGTATCTCAAGGTAAATCAATAACTAGGATTCAACTTCTTACTGGTTTAGTCCTGGGAGATTGTATGTGTTCAGGTATTTATCAATTTCTTCTAGATTTTCTAGTTTATTTGCATCAAGGTGTTTACAGTATTCTCTGGTGGTAGTTTGTATTTCTGTGGGATCAGTGATTATCACTTTTTATTGTGTCTATTTGATTCTTCTCACTTCTCTTCTTTAATAGTCTGGCTAGGGGTCTATCTATTTTGTTAATGTTTTCAAAAAACTGGATCCTGGAATCACTGATTTTTTGAAGGGTTTTTTGTTTCTCTATCTCCTTCAGTTCTACTGTGATCTTAATTATTTTTTGTCTTCTGCTAGCTTTTGAGTTCGTTTGCTCTTGCTTCTCTAGTTCTTTTAATTGTGATGTTAGGATGTCAATTTTAGATCTTTTTTGCTTTCTCCTGTGGGCTTTTTAGTGCTATAAATTTCCCTCTAAACACTGCTTTAACTTTTTCCCAGAGATTCTGGTATGTTGTACCTTTGTTTTCACTGGTTTCAAAGAGCGTATTATTTCTGCCTTAATTTTGTTATTTACCCAGTAGTCATTCAGGAGCAGGCTGTTCAGTTTCCACGTAGTTGTGTCATTTTGAGTGAGTTTTTAAATCCTGAGTTCTAATTTGATTGTACTGTTGTCTAAGAGACTGCTTGTTATGATTTCCATTCTTTTGCATTAGCTGAGGAGTGTTTTACTTCCAATTATCTGGTCAGTTTTAGAATATGTGCAATGTGGTACTGAGAAGAATGCTTATTCTGTTGACTTGGGGTGGAGAGCCATCTAAAATTTTAAGTTAGATTTCTATGTTTTACCCTACAGATTCTGATTTTGGAGGGGTGAATACGATATAGGAATTTGTAGTTTAATAAACCTCCAGATAATTCTGATAGTGAGACTCATTTGGGGCTTTCATAACTCTCCTTTTATTAGGTCTTTATTTCGACTTCCCCAGTAGAAGAAAGACTATCAAGAGACAGTAGACAACTTGAAGAGCCCTTGTTCTTTCTTTTCAGCTCTGGCTCACTAATTTTGCCTTTTTGTGAGCAAATTAAGGTTAGAATTATTTATACCTTAAACTAAGTTAACTTTGAAAACTAAGTCATACAATGAATAACAGAAAATATTAGCTCTCATGATCAATCAATTATATAAAAATTATTTTATGTTATTGACTCAACTTGAAAGCATACCATTAGTTATTAGCAAGTCTAATAATACTGTTCCTTTTTTAAACTGATTTTTACCGTTGTGATCTTTGATAAAATTTTCTTTTGGTAAGCAATATTACCAACAGACTGCTGCAATACTTCTAATTCTAACCAGTAGCAATTATAACACACGGAGATATACACTGGCTCTCTGCATAATTATTCACGTAGTTAATAAAAGTTAGATAAACAAGATTATAAATCTTGTTATAATAAAATCAGACATAAGAATCTTTTTTAAAACACATTATTTTAAATGTGTCAATAACTAAAACAACTGAGATTTTGTTTTTGTTTTATAACCTGTGATATTTCTAGTTCATAAATAATGTATGCATTGTAGACAGTATTGCCTTTGAAAGTCTTAGATACTACATGCCTTGGAGAGACTTTCACTCTTCCATAATTTCTATACTTACATTTTAACTTGATTTAATGGCACTCATATTATTCAAAAGTCCCCAGTGTATCTGAAAAACCTCTAAAATGTTATATTCCATTTTTCTTCCCCTTATGTCAGTGGTTGCTTTATTAGATGTAGACAGCTGGGATAGCATATGTTTCTTTAAAAGAAACCTTTAAAATTTAAAATTTGGAGAGCACTCTTTTAAAATCCACCAGGGTGAATTTTATTTCTTCTGAGATATCTGAAAGGATTCAAATATCAACATGTAAGAAATCTCACTCTGCAGTTGAATATACACTGTATGGGGAGTTATGTCCAGAGATGTTTTCATTAACTTTTGATGCAATTTTACATAAATCATTTAAATTAATGCTATTTATTACTTATTGATAAATCAAGGTTGCTATTGATTACTCTGGTACCTTACAGTATTTTTTTAAGACAGCATGTAGTGATAAAAGAAAAAGCACAGTGAAAAATATGGGAGCCAGAAGATAGGAAAGAAAGTAGTGTTTATTGGACATCTGCTGTGTTTCAGGCATGATGCCAGTCACATCACATATATTTTCCATTTAATCCTCACAATATGCTCTGTAGAATGGACATATTATCCCTATTTTAAGGAAAAGATATTAAGGCTCTAAGAAATTAACTAGTTTGCTTAAGGCTAAACAGTAAATTGTAGAGCTGTGATTAGCAAATTCTGTTGATTCCATCTTCTAAATGTGTCCAGAATCTAACTACTTCTCACCATCTTGACAATTCCCACTTTGGCATAAGCTACCACCAATTCTTGCCTGAACTATTGCAATAATTCAACTCATACTTTATTTTACCATCTCCCTGGAGTCCGTTCTTAACACATAAGAGGGAGACTTGTAAAATTTATCAGAACATTTACACCCCTCCTCAAAACTCTCAAAGGACTTCCTTCATTCAGAATAACTAAGAAAGTCCAATGTGTCATAGAGTCCCTCATTATTTAGGTTTCTATCTCTCATTATTTCTTTGAATTTTATCATTCTATTCTTTACAGGCTGTGATCCAGCCACACTGGCCAGCTGACCCTCCTTGCAGTGCTTCAACCATTCCAGGCATGCTCCCTCTTGCAGTGTGTATGGACCTGTTCTCCCCACCAGCAATGATCTTCCCCAATATGTACTCCTGTATCTCTTCCTCATCTCTTTCAAATCTGTTCAAATGTTACCTTCTCAATGAAACTTTATTTAAATAGTATCATACTCAGTCCTCACCCTTTCAACTTCCTCTTCCCTGCTTTTTCTCTTTACAACGTATCACTATCTGCCATAGGAAAAATACAAAACAAAACACTTATTATTTGATAGTTTCTTCCATTTCCCTGCCAGTAAATAAGCATCATGAGGGTAGGTGCTCTTCTGTTATGGTGCATGTGGTATGCACTGGGGAGTGGGCCCACAGTTGAATCTTTTTCCTGTAATTGACTTGGCCAAATAGGATATACCTGACCAAGGTAAGCACCTTCCCTGGGAGAAGCCACCACTCCATTACTGGTAGATGAGAGTACGAAGGCCCAGACCCCTTGTCACATTTAAGAACAAATTTCAAGGTGCATGGAGCTCGAGCTCATGAGCTCATCTCAAAGGTGGAGGTCTTTGTTGCAGCTGTGCTATGATTCAACTCTCCCTCTTTCCCTCTGCCAACATCTGCTCTTTTCACTTCCCTCTACATGTTCTTCTTGAGAGAATTACTCAATAAACTTCCTGCAAGCAAACCATCTCAGACTTTGTTTCCTGGGAAACCCAATCTATATCCTTGCACCTGTAAAAAGCATGATGTGCAGTTAATGATACAATAAATACTATTTGAATGAATGGGTGAATAGAGAATAAATTAGACAGTGGCTCACGCCTGTAATCCTAGCACTTTGAGAGGATGTGGCGGGCAGATCACGAGGTCAAGAGATGGAGACCATCCTGGCCAACATGGTGAAACCCCGTCTCTACTAAAAAGTACAAAAGTCAACTGGGTGTGGCGGCATGCCTGTAGTCCCAGCTACTCGGGAGGCTGAGGCAGGAGAATTACTTGAACCCAGGAGGCGGTGATTGCAGTGAGCTGAGATTGCACCACTGCTGTACTCCAGCCTGGAGCCTGGTGACAGAGTGAAACTCTGTCTCCAAAAGTAAAAATAATAAATTAGAATGGAAAAGAATGGACTAGAATAGAAATAGTTATGTATTTTCATTCTGGAATAAAAATAATCTGTATTGCAATCTTCACTCTTCCTCTTAATTCCTGTGACTTAGAATAATTTACTTAAAATTATACATGGAAGAGATTATAATAGTACCATTCTCAGATTATTTTAGAATTAAAGGAGATAAAGCATACAAAGCCAGAATCATAGGGTCTGGAATTTACGTTCTTAATAGATACTGTAAAAATAATTATTTTTTCTATTTATGCTAGAGATATAGTCTACTTTCCCAATCAAAATTTATTTTTTTCCCACAGCTTTGTTCGAATCTTTTATAAGGTGAGGATAAGGAGAAAAAAGTAAATGAAGACGCTTTTTTTCATCACACTTAGGAAAATATATATCAGTGTGTGTATTAGTCCATTTTCACACTGCTGATAAAGACATATCCCTGACTGGGCAATTTACAATACAAAGAGGTTTAATGAACGTACAGTTCCACGTGGTTGAGAAGACCTCACAGTCATGGTGGAAGATGAAAGGCACATCTCACATGGCAACAGACAAGAGAAGAGAGCTTGTGCAGGGAAACTAGCATTTTTTTAAAACCATCAGATCACATGAGACTTACTCACTATTGTGAGAACAGCACCGAAAAGGCCTGCGCCCATGATTCAACCACCCCCCACCAGGTTCCTTCCATGACACATTGGAATTGTGGGAGTTACAACTCAAGATGAGATTTGAGTGGGGACACAAAAAAACCACATCAGAGTGCAAATGAGAAATGTGAAAATTGTCATGGTACACACAAGTTAAATAGATTAAATAAAACTATAGTAATATACTTTTAGATACAATATACCAATCAGCATTATCATTCTGAGAGGGTGGTTAAAAGGGCAACTAGCCCAGCTCTCTATTTCTAGGCTGAACTTAAGCCATTCAAAGCAGTTTGTCATCTAAATGACTCTAATTGATATGGATGCAGAAATATTCCATGATTTCCCACTGAAGTTTTTGTTCCAGTGTTTAATTACTTGGTACCATCAGGAGATTCTCCTTCAAATAACTTCTAATCTATTTCTAGAATTTTAATATATTTCATACAGTTTTGGCCACTATACTAATGTAGGACTACTGATCTTTGTCCTTTGAGTTTCAATTTAAGTACTTTAATTAATCAAAAAGTTTTTTATTGAGCTTGGTGCCAAGTATTGGGCTGGGCTTGATGGCAAGTTTTAATTCATGATCTTTCTTGCTGTTCTATGCCCTGGTTGGAGTCCTGGAGTCCCTTTCATCTTTTCTAATAGTCTTATTTTCATTTTTGTTGATCTTCTTTGAATGTGCTCCAATTTCTTTACAACTTTCATAAATACTTCAGGAAAGGCTTGATTATTGCCAAATATGGAATAAAGATTACTACTCACTCATGATAAGCTAGTCATACTGCTATTAATATATTCTAGCATAATGTTTCCTTTATAAATAATTGCTTTATGCAGCTGACTCATCTGATTTGTATTATATGATGAGTGTAAGTCATTTTTTTTCTCAGTACTTGAGTACACAAAAATCTTTCCTTTCTTAAATCAATCAAAATTATACTTTGTTCCTCACTGTAATCTTTCATTTAAATTTATTTAATTCAGTCCTAGGTTTTTTTTTTTTTCTTTTTTTTGCATATTTAAGTTGAATCCTCATCCTTTTTTAAATTAGCAGTTTTTGTCCTATGCATTTCCTCATTCAGCTCAGTTGAATTCAACTCAATATTTGTCACCTATTGTGGGCCAGTCATTGAGCTATGTATGAAGGCTACCAAATGGTAAATATAGGCCTTATTAAGAAATTCTCAATATAGAGGTGACAGAAAATGTGTTAAATTCCAAGTGCGAAGACAGAGGAATGCAAAAATTCAGAGTTCCCTTGGTCAGCTTGGAAGTAGGCTTCCTGGAGGAGATTATGCTAAATTGAGCTTTAAAGATTGCATAAAAATTAAATAATGAAAGAAAATAGGACTACAGCATTCCAGGCAGAGGGAGCCATGCAATCAAAACTTTAGAGGCTTATAACAATAAATATATCTGGGATCTGTAAACAGCTTCTTACCACCAGCACAAAATGCAAGCCGAAAAATGGTAAAAAACTTAAAAACGGTAGTCGGATCCAAGATGGCCGTTTAGGAACAGCTCAGGATCACAGCTCCCAGTGAAAGCGTAGAGGGTGAGTGGATGCCGCGTTTCTATTGCCCACAGACTAGGAAATTCCCAGGCAGAGGAGCTCCACGGTCGCCATCGCGGCTGTTTC